ATATTAATACATTACTATTATTATACTATTATATTATAATATTATATGTGTGTGTGTGTGTTTTCTTCATCTAGATACCATTCTATATTTTTTAAAATATTCTGAATTAGTTTTTATTTTTGTATTTTCAATTTTCATTTTCATTTTAAAGCTTCTGTAATTTTTTTTTTGTGTTTTGGTCTTTTTTGCTAGTTATTGTTTTTTTTTTTAAATATACCTATACTTATACCTATAATTATTTTTAGTTATTTTCGTACACTATTGTAATTTGTAGTATTTAATACACTATTTTAGTACAACAAGTTAAGAGAACTAGCTAAAATAAAATAAATTTACATTTTTAAATATTTTATTTTATTTCCTTTAAAGGGATCATATGATGTTGCTAAAAAGAACAGTATTTTGTGTATTTGGTGTAATGAAATGTATTTATGCAGTTTAAGGTTAAAAAAACACATTATTTTCCACATACTGTACATTATTGTTTCTCCTCTATGCCCCGCCTTTCTGAAACGAGTCGATTTTTACAAAGCTCATCGGTCTGAAAAAGCGAGGCGAGCTGTGATTGGCCAGCTATCCAGTGCATTGTGATTGGCCGAATACCTCAAGCGTGAGAACAAAAACATTAAAACTGGGGGGGTGACGAGATCTCGTGGCACGAGATCTCGCGAGATCCGATGTGTCTCGCGAGATCTGACTGGTCTCGCGAGAACGTGACGATATCCTCGAGCAGACCTTTCAGATATGCATTACACTGGCTTGTTCACAAGTGGTGGTTTGTAAGATATTTTGTGTTCACATCAGGCAAGTGGCCGCATGATAAGCGGGAATCATCTCCAGAATTGCTCTGAGAGTCATTTCATGAGCATTTGACCGTTTGATTTGAGTAAAACTAGCTCATATCTCATACACAGAACTGTAAAGGTATTCACGGCAACCCGTCAAAATAAAAGTCCGGTTTGATTTGAAGACATTGTGCCTATTTTTCAGTAGAATGTACATAGCCTACTACTACTACGAAAATGAAACAAAGATTATTTTTTAAGGAATAATCACACAAAACATTTCTTCCATGTTTTAATATTAATAGTAAATCCCCTTTGTTTGCCAAAAAATCTTGTTTGCTTAATTTTCAATAATTAAAAGATAAATGATAAATTATTCAAATAATTAGACATGCTAAAACACAGAATTTGGTAACAATAAAAAAATATAAATAATGTGGTGAGAAAAAATTAAACATTTCATAGGGCCCTAAACATGTAATTTTTGTTAAACTTTTAATAAATTGATGTGAAAATGTATAAGTTTCATGATTTTAATTCATAAGAATAAAATACTATTTTTCCCTATATATTTCATCATTGAGGATTTCTTTAAAAAAGTGTAAAAATCTCTTGTGGGATAAGTGTCTCGTCACACCCCTAATTAAAACCCATTATAAACGAGGCATTTGTTGCATCCAGTGGGGACATAATTACTGATTATAATGACTTATACTGTCTTTTTACGTGTTGCGTTGCATCGCACCGCGTAAACATAAAACCATGTTTGCATTTGTGATCGGAGAAATGACAAACAACAAGTGCTACTCTACACTGCTCAAAACTCACGTTTGAATCATCAGTGGCAAATCCTTTAATATAAAAAACTTACTTACAGAACAGCCGCTGTTCTGTCGGTTTGTGCTACCCTGTCAGATTTTGCTACCTTCCATTAAAACAGTGGGTAGTACAATTCGTCAACGAAAAATGCTACCTGTAAAATTATGGTTTATTAACGTCTACACCCTGCCACAACCCTAAACCTACCCTTACAGTAATTCAAATACAGTAATTATGTGTTGATGTGCGCATGCGCAGTAAACCCTGGCAGGACAATCTGATGGGTAGGATAAAATGTCAGGACAACGGCATTGTAGTCTACTCTACTCAGGATCAGGAAACAGTCCTCCATAAAATGCGCTGGACACATCTGAATATTTGGGTTGAAGTGTTCTGGAACAGTGTTGTAAATACAACTTAACCACTGATTTCTAGTCGTGTCCTCTTTTGGAAGACCAAACAAAGTAGTTTCGCTTTCACAACGAACCACACAGCGTCTTCACGACATGGCGGCAGCGGCAACAATACTACAGCGAGAATAAAAGTTACGCCTTCTTTCTTTGCGTGAACATTTGGGTGGCGTTATGCAAATCTTCCCACATAGTGAGGTAGATATGTGGGGGCGTGTTAGAACGAGGCGTTTTAGGTAGGCGTGGCTGACTCTTAGCTTTTATAAAGAATATCTCTTTGGATTTGAGACTTTAGTCTTTGCAAATTTACAGATCTTCTTTATGCACCAAGAGCTTGTAACACTCCAAAGAGAAAGGAAAACTTGAAATCGCATCATATGACCCCTTTAACATTATTTCTATTTCAAGCAACAAAAAATCTGTTTGTTTTTTTCAATGCTTCAGTTTTAGTTTCAGTTATAGTTAACTATAATAACCATGTTTACAGCTCTGCTCACATTCATGAACCAAATTCATGAGGAGCAAAGTTAAGTATTATACACACGGGCAGATCGTTTATTTATCTACAGAACTAATCTCATAAGCTTTTAAGATCATGAGAAACATAAACAGAGTAATTTGCAGTGTTTGAAAGTCTCACAAATGGACAAACCTTATATTTCTAATAAAACTAACTGTGCTGAAACTTTTTTGACTGCTAGTGTACGCCGAACACTTCCTATATAGATCATCTGTATAGACATGTTAGTCTATTTCTCCAACACATTAACCTTATAAGTTCACTTGTTCGCTGCAATAATAGAAATATTTAAATCACCTTATCACCTTTCATTCCAGGAGGCCCCACCCCTCCGGTCAGGCCCTGCCAATGAGAGAACAAGATCTTCAGTGTCCAGCCAATCAGGTTACAGGAACACTGAGGCGTAACGGGACAGGACGTTACCTGAGGTCCCACAATGCCAGGGAAGCCACGGGGTCCCTCAGGCCCCGGATCACCCTGAGAGAAGAGACAGAGACCCAGCGTTCAGTGAATAATTCAGTGATGGACACTGAATGACAGCTTTATGAGGACATTCCCACCGTCTGCCATCATGACAATCATCTGCTGTGAGTTTCTGGCTTCTCGCAAACAACATGTTAGAAACACAGAGTCCTGAAGCCACTTAGTCTGTGATTGAACTCTCACACGCACGTTCAGACAATTACTCCTGAAAGAGCAGAATTAACTCGCTTCCCACCGCAGTAAATGTGCTTTAAGGCCACTCACGGTCAGGACAGAAGGTCAAGGGAAAGTTTTAATCTATATTATCTTGCAGGAGGAACAGTTTTCTTTTACAAGCACATTCTTTGGTAAAAGGTAGCACCGAAGGAATTATGGTACTGTCAGCCATATGAAAAAAAAAGTCCATTCAAATAATGTCATGATTTTTAAATGTTTTGAATTGAATATTTCATTAATTTAAATAATAACAATAATAATATATGAATGCATATCCATGACATTCCAAGGGAACAAATACACATATAAAAAAATAATTTTAAGATTTGTCCAAATCAATAAATCAATAAATAAATACATACATACATATAACTGTAGTGTACCACCAAAGCAGCAGGAAAAAAACAAGAAAGAAAAAAAAAACACAAGTACTCTTGCTAAGATATAATTTTTTTTTTTTTAATTAATTTTGGGAAAAAATCTCTCTCTCTCTCTCTCTCTCTCTATCTATCTATATATATATACACAGTATATATATATATATATATATATATACTCACACACACATATATTTATTTAGATTTAAATTTATATACACATTTTGGAAAATATTTATTTATTCTAGCAAGGACAAAAATAACATTTAAATGTATTTATTCAAATATTTATATATTATTACTTTACAATTGACAAAAAATAATAGCAAAATATATAGCAGGAAAAAGGTATATATATATATATTATTTATATACATTTTGGAAAATATTTATTCTAGCAGGGAAAATAACATTTAAATTTAAACATATATCTGAAAAAAATAATCAACAAAAAAGATTGCAAAATATAAAGCAGGGAAAAATTACCATTTAAATAATTTATATAAATTTACTTAAGAGACAGCAGGAATAAACCCACTCCTGTCTGCACTGATTAACAGGAAGCCTCAAACCTACAGGAACAATGTGCAAACATCTCAGAGCCGGAGAGATGATGCTCTTCTGTTTCTACTGTATTATGAGAGAACATGAAGTAAAATAATGACATTAATGATGACCATGACCACAGTACATATGCAAAATCATGGTAATGCCACGACTCTCTGTTTATTTAGCTTGTGAAGACGTGTTTCGAAGGAAAGCTGCTCATCTGGAGCTGGTAGAGGATGTGAAAGACCCACAAATCACAATCAAATCACACACAGTCCATAAAAAAGCTCTTCTGTCTGCTGCACGCAATAAAACCGACAGAAGAAAGAGAAGAAGGTGAAATACGACTCATTTGATATTCTAATGCCTGCAGAAAATGCATCCATCTCCGAATGTTCAAAAACATCCCACGTACAGAACTCCCAACAGGGAATCATAATGTGATGTATGAGATGCAAAACAAACCACAGCTTCTGGAGATAGTGAGAAGAGTGTTCATATATCAGATTCAGAGATAATAGTTCGGCACAAACTGATTCTGGGATCTTTAGACAAGCAGCTTCACATGTTAATATAAGTTGAAAGTTTGAGCTCGGAACTCTCTTTTGCTCACCAAGGCTGCAGTTGTTTGATTAAAAATACAGTAAAAACAGTAATATTGTGAAATATTTTTTACAATCTAAAATAGCAGTTTTCTGAGTGAATATCTGTATATTATTTATTTCTGTGATCAAAGCTGTATTTTCAGCATCATTACTCCAGTCTTCCGTGTCACATGATCTTCAGAAATCATAATAATATGCTGATTTGCTGCTCAAGAAACATTTCTGATTATCATCAATGTTGAAAACAGTCGTGCTGCCCAATATTTTTGTGGAAACAGTGATGCATTTTATTTTTCAGGATTCACAGATGAATAGAACGTTCAGAAGAACAGCATTTATTTTAAATAGAAATCTTTTGTTATATTATAAATGTCTTTACTGCCACTTTTGATCAGTTTAATGTACAGTTTCACTGATGAATAAAAGTATTAATTTATTTTTTAAATAACTGGCAATTACTACAATTTTTCAATATTTAACTTAAATAAGAATGGTGGGCAAATATGCTAAAATTTCACAAAATTATTAAAAAACTAAAAAATGTTTCTTATGCAAAATATTATAATTGTTTATATAATTTATAATTAATAATACATAAATTTTTTAATAAATTATTTTATGACTAGAAAGCTTTTTTTATATTTTTATATTTGTACATAATTTATAAAGTATAAAATAGCAGTTTTTTTTAGCAAAGAAACACTTTTTTTTATCTCATTATCTGAATTTTGACAGATCTCATATGGTTAAAAAAGTCAATAAAATAATTCAAATGAATAAAATTAATTTGGAAGGATTCAGCAGTTTGTTCCAGAATATCATCTGGCATTTCATAACGCATCAGAAACCGAACTGGACCTTTTACGGCATATTATAATCATGATCGTGTCCAACAGGGCATTTAATCACATAAAAGCTGATTTTTACGGCTCTAAAAGACTCATCATGACCTCTCCGATCATCAGTTGAGGCAGCAGAGAGAGACAGCAGCGAAAGCATCATGAAAAGACATCAGGAACCTGCAGCGCTGCAACATCCCGCTCTAAATCTCCCGCCTGACACCCAGCAGCAGTCAGACGCATCTGACATCTCTGTCCAGCGCTTTATAAGGCTCCGGGGGGTTCAACAACCGCTGACACCTGTGTTTTAAAGCCGGAGCGAGCAGACGAGTCCTCTACTGCTAGATACTGCTTACTGAACATGAAACGTGCAATGATTCGCTTTTCTGACACATGAAGGGCTCCGCAGAGACTCCAGAGAGCAAAGACTACAGTATCTGAACACATGCAACAGACAGAAACACACTGTGAATGAAGGAAAAAGAGCACGTAACAGTGAATTTTACTTTTAAAGCTGCCGTAAGCAGGGTTATTGTAGTTCAATCATGACAACTCTCTGAACATTTTAGCATGGTGATGGATATGACAATGTTAATGTATTTGGTCTTGGCGGAACAGATCTGCTACACTGCTGCTGAATTACTGCTGCTGCTGTTGGTTATTGCTGTAGTTGTAGATTATTGCTGCTGCTGCAAGCAAGTACAGGAACTTGCTACTGCCAATGCATATAAGGCAAGGTTATCAGAAGCATTGAGTGTTTCAGCGCTGTGTGTTATATTTTTATTTACGGGTGGGACGTGTGTCCCCACGACCCCCGCCACTTTTTGCGACATCTCGCGGCACGCACGGATGTACCTAAAGAAACATCCCCATTTGATAACAAATTCGTTGGTCTGTGTTAAATAACAGACGATCTATCGCTGGAATGTGGTACGGCGAGCGCTCGTTGCTGCTGTTATCAGTTCTCTCTTGGCACTCG